ACAGTGGTGGGGACAGTGGGGACAGTGAGACACTGGTGGGGCCCTGGTGGGGCCCGTGGGGACAATGGTGGGAACAGTGGAGACAGTGGGACAGTGGTGGGAACAGTGGGAAAAGTGGGACAGTGGTGGGGACGGTGGTGGTGAGCGGTGGTGAGGACAGTGGTGGGACAATGGGACACTTGTACAGTGGAGACAGTGGTGGGACAGTGGGGACAGTGCGACAGTGGTGGGAACAGTGGGACAGCTCAGTGGGACAGCGGTGGGGACAGTGGGGACTGTGGGACAGTGGCGGGGGCAGTGGGGACAGTGGGACAGTGGTGGGGACAGTGGGGACACTGGGGAAAGTGGGACCGTTGTAGGGACAGTGGCGGGGACAGTGGGGACAATGCGACAGTGGTGGGGGCAGACTGTGGTGGTGGGACATGGTGGGGCCCCGGGAGTCGTCTGCCTGCGGCGACTGGTTGGGGCGGCTCGAACCGCTAGTGAGCCCCTCCGGTTTTTTGGAGGGGCGGGGGGTTCGAACCGGTAGTGAACCCTCCTGGGTTTCCGGAAGGGGGGGGAGGGGGGGGAGAATCCCACCAGCCCTTTGGGCGTGAGTGGTTTAGAGAGCCCGCTCTGTTCTCAACCCCCCTTCTTCCCCTTCGGGGAGGGGTTTCCCCCTCCCCCTACCCCCTCCCCTGGGCCTGGAGAGGTCCCACCGCGGGTGGTCAGGGGAGTCCTTTTCGACTCCTGGGAGGGCTAAAAAACGACACCCCTCACGAGGATTCTGGCCCCGACGGGGGGAAGGAGAAAAAACCCTCTCCTCTTCTGTGAAGCCAAAATCATTGATTTTACTACGGTTTTGGCCCCATGTTGGCCTTCTGAGGGGGCAGCGCTCATGAAAGCTCCCCTCTTCCTTCAAGGCAAAATCATTGATTTTACGAAGGTTTTGGGCTCATTTTGCCCTTCTGAGGGGGCAGCGCTCATTCAAGCTCCCCTCTTCTTTGATCGATTCCCTCCAAGATGGCCCCAAGAAGCGCCCAGGAGGCACCAAGAGGCCCCAAGATGGCCCCAAGAGGCCCCCAGGAGGCCCCCAAGAGGCCTCCAAGAGGCCCCCAAGATGCCCCCAAGAGGCCCCCAAGAGGCCCCAAGAGGCTCCCCCGAGGCACCCAAGACGCTCCTGGAAGCCCCTGGGGCCGCCAAGAGGCCCCCAAGACGCCCCAAACGGCCTCCAAGAGGCTCCCAAGAGGCCCGAAGAGGCTCCCCCAAGGCACCCAAGACGCTCCTAGAAGCCCCTGGGGCCGCCAAGAGGCCCCCAAGACGCCCCAAAAGGGGACGAGGTGCCCGAACGCCTCACGCCACGAGGAGCCCGAACGACTCACACCAGGACGAGGGGCCCGAACGACTCACACCACGAAGAGCCCGAACGACTCACACCAGAAGGAGGGGCCCGAACGACTCACACCAGGACGAGGCGCCCGAACGACTCACACCACGAGGAGCCCGAACGACTCACACCACGACGAGGGCCCCGAACGACTCACACCACGAGGAGCCCGAACGAGTCACACCAGGAGGAGGGGCCCGAACGACTCACACCAGGACGAGGGGCCCGAACAACTCACACCACGAGAAGCCCGAACGACTCACACCAGGACGAAGAGCCCGAACGACTCACACCACGAAGAGCCCGAACGACTCACACCAGGAAGAAGGGCCCGAACGACTCACACCAGGACGAGAAACCCCAAACGACTCAAACCACGAGGAGCGCTTTCTCTCCCTCCTCCTCCGCCTCGTCCTTCTCCCGCTCCCACCACAAGGAGGATGTACAAGGAGGCGGGAGGAAGGAGGAACAGGGGAGATATGCGGGGGCAGGCGGAAACACGCCTGAAAAACACGACTGTCGGCATGCTTCGCAAGAGTTGCTGTTTTGAGATGGGCTGGTGGGGATACGCGAAGCGTAAAGAATTTCGGGGGGGGACCCGCGGGCTCCGGAGGGAGAGGGGGGAATGTTCCACATCAAACAGGCGGTGGGGTCACGCTCTCTCCGAACGTGGCACTGGGGACAGATTTGCCATCTAAAAGATAAGCCTGGGCCGGAGCCCTCTCCAGGAAAAGGAGAGGGGGGGAGGGAAAGCAGGGCACCAGGGCAGACTCTGGTGTCCCAGGCGGTGGGTGGTGTGCAATTGAAGCCTTAACGCTCAGGCAACAGGGCGAAGCTGCAAGTGAACACGGAGCCAACGAACCCAGTTAACACGAAAAGTGGGAGAGCGTGGTGGGCGAGCCGCCCCGAAGCTCGCGCGACCTACGGGCCTCAACGCCTGACCTGCGAAGGCGGGACGGGGCCAGAGCTCTGGCGCAGTAGCCGCCCCCGAAGCTGAACGCCTCGCGTCGCAACCACGAGGAGGAGAGGGGGAGAGGGGAGGGAGGGGAGGGAGGGCGGGAGAGGGGGAGAGGGAGGGTAAAAACAAATTGTCCCTGCGACGCCGCAAGCGCGCCGCGGCCAAGGCAGGCCGCCGCACAATCATCTGCGTGGGCCACCACGGCGGCAGCTCGTCAAGGACGTCAGCAGCATGAAAACACGGAGGGAACGGGGGGAAGGGGGGGAGGGGGAAGCAGAAAGCTGTGGAAGCGGCAAGGCGAAAAAAGCCTGGTCAACAAGCAAGCAAACTATGCGGCAGAAGCCGCCAATAGCATGCCATTTTGGAGCCGTCCAAGTGGTGGCCTCCCCTGGCAGACTGCAGCAAGGAGGGCCTCTGAGCAATAAGTACGGCATGCGCATGCGCAACCAATAAAAAAAACAGCTATATGTTACGCACTTCAGACGCTAACGCGGCCACTGCAAGTTATCTGCAAGTTATTACTGCCAGCGCCAGCTGCGAACATTGGGGCGCGAGGCATGCGCGCGACCTCCAGCCAACACGTCGGACGATGCCAATTGGCATGGCTCCCAAAATCTATCGAAGGCAAACTCTCAGAAACACCTCCTGTGTACCACGGTGGGGTCCGACTTGTCGGACCTCCCCCTGGAGATCCACATGTGCTGCAAGGTGTTTTTCGGATGATGGGCAGATCCACCGATCCACAGTGAGCTCTTGCGCTGAAGCGGAACCACGGCTTTAATCTTCACTGCGTAAGGAACCAGTGCCGTCAGCTCCTTGGTCATGCGCTCGCCGATGCCTGGGATGGACGTGGTGCCACCAGCCAGCACCACGTTGGCGTAGAGGGCGTCGCAGATATTTACATCGCACTACATGATCAACTTGAACGTGGTGCGTGGATGCTGTTGGCTACCTTGCTCTCTGGGCTGCGGAAGCGCTCGCGGCCCACATTTATGATGCTCCCACCGGGGATCCCGCACGGCGTTCCGTGTCGGAACTCTCCGTACAGCCACGCTCGGTGGTGATTTTCACTAAGTACACCGTAGGGTCCCGCCTCGCCAGCCAGGCGCGGGATCGCATGCGGCAGCACGTGGCCCTCAGAGATGGGCGCTGCGTGCGACACGCCATCCTCGGATTTTACGACCAACCAAGCCTTGCGGCGCACAGCGAAAACACTGTTTGGATCGCGACGTACGTCGCCTGCGCGATGGGCGTCTCAAACACGATCTGCGCCACGCGCTCGCGATTCGCTTTCGGGCCCAAAGGCACCTTCGTGAAGGAAGATATACTGCAAAATGTGCTCCATGTCGCTCCAGTTGGTCACGATGCCTTTCTCGATGGGGTCCTTCAGGATCAGGGCGCCGCGGTTGCTCTGGGTTTCGTCGCCCACGAAACTATCCTTCGCATCGAAAGAACCTGCACCCCGCGGGGGAACCAGTAGGCCAAGTGCAACCTGGGGCGGACCAAGTGCACTTAGAAAACAAAGCTGTGCCCACCTGGGGCGAACCAGGAGGCAGGCTGATGCCTGGGGCGGACCAGGCGCAGCGAACGGTGCACGCCTGGTCCGTTGATTAGCTTCGCTTCATCACTGCTATCTTGGTGTCGTCGTCCATCAGTCAAACTCGAGACCCATCCTTCTGACGCACCAGCTTCAGCCAACTCGCGTGCCACACCCCAAACGATGTACCTGCTACTGGTCTGCTGTCAACCACTGCCTCCAAACATAAAATCGAACACCACTGGGCTTGGGCCCGTGCCCCATGAGCAGCAGCCCCATAATTCAAATCCGCGATCGGCTTCGGTATTTGTTTTCATGATGTTGAGAGCTCGTCCATTGCACATCGCCTTGAGCAGTCGGTCTACACCTCGAGACTTGGCGGACCTTCTGGCGTGAAGTCAGCGCGTCCACTGAACATCTGTCGGGAGCATTCGCTGCCGACTCCAGTGGTGATCTCGTGTCTCCTGCGAGGGTGAAGGATCATTAATGAACCTATATCGCAAGTATTCCTAATCTTCGTTTTGGCTGTCAAAGCACCGAGATGTGCCGACGCTCTTCTCCGTCGTGAAACCGATCATCCACAAGTTGGTGAAATCCAGGTCTGTGACCTTTAGCTCCATAGCTATGTCCATCTGTGAGAGATCTGGTGCGACGGTGTGTTGCTTGGGCTGACATCCTTAACAATACCCAATGCTTCAGACAGGCTGACCGCGAAACGACATGAAATTCATGATGTCTCTGAAACACCTCCTCTGGATAAGCAACGCACTCACACATATCATGCTATGCACTCTGAGCTTTAGCACTATACTGCCTGAACGTAAATCTTGGCATAAGACGGCCCAAGAGAGCCCCGAAACGTCACAAGAGGATCCCACAACGGCCCAAAGTGGCCCGAAGGACCCCCAAGACTTACCCACAGGAGCCCAGGAGAGGACGAAAGAAACGGACGAAGAAGACGAAGACAAAGAATAGAACCCCCGACACGACGCGGAAGAGCGTGCCACAGATTACGGCTCTCCCATAGCCTGGGACACGATGTGACACTCGTTATGGCTTACTGTGCGCCCTCCCGAAGAATCGCCACCCAAGGGGTTGGGCTGGCACGATGGCGAACTTGCCACAGGCAGTTGGATAGCTCCGTAAGTGACATACCACGAAGCAATTATCTTAGCGCTCGAAACTCCCATGATCTTCAAACTCTCCCGCACCTTCGTCTCCTTTTCTGTGATGAGTTCATTGACAACCTTCTTTTGAGTGTAGAGGAAGCCAATAATGAAAATTAGCGGGAACACGATAGACACTAGCTTGTAGAACCCATCGATGACCACGCCTGACACCGGCATTGGCACCGTCTCAATGGACTGTGGAGCCCATCGCAGCGGCTCGGCGAGCTTCTCGACCAGAGATCCGTCATGGTGGTCAGCATCGACGAGGTGCATCCGATTCGCGTGCAGAAGAGCGGTCGCATTTGCATCGCCGTCTCGACTGCCGATGATGTAGCGATCGAAGAGCAGCTGGAGAGCCACGTGGCCCTTGTTCATGTACGTGTTGGCCTCGTTCATCAGCAGGCCTAGCTGCAAGGGTCGCGTTTTGGGCACCCCAGTGTACGGTGTGGTCCCCATTGACACGTTCAATCGAATGCTGTAGGACCAGTGCCCTGGGGCACCAGGCTCGCCCTGTCCACCCACTGAACCGAACACTACCGCAGCAAAAAATCGGGGCTGGGTGCCGTAGCCGTACGTCGGCGAGTCGAGGTACTTCTGCAGCTCGTCCGCTCTGTAGACCTCTGGGTGCGTCAGATTTGCAAAGCCCGGCAGGATGCCCGACCTCTTCCTCGGGCAGATTGCTCGGGTGCCGTTGCCCCCGCCAGGGCCTCCGGGCCCCATGCGCCTCTCGACCCTGTCTGCAACGGGCCGTTCCAGCAGGGCATTGCACGGGATCCGATGCATGTGCACGTCGCCGTGCCAATGCTCTGTTATCCAGTCCCGCATGCGCTCCACTTTTGCGACGTCCTCGGGGCGCTCCGCCGCCAGCGCGAGGAGCTTCCCGCTGTAGTGGAGGTATCCCAGGATCTCGATGGTCGGGATGGGGCGGTTGAACACTTCGGTCCAAGCTGTGCACGTCGAGAAGCCTGGGCGGACGCCAACTGACAGACCTGCAGTGATCCTGGCCGTGCATGTCCTGGTTCCAAGGTAAGCTTGGCTGCGATAGTGGCATGAAGGAAACGGGCCCTGAGGGAAACCAACCCTGGATCCTGGGTTTTCCCAGGACAAGCTTTTCATTCAGGGTCGTTTTGAACGGTCCCGGGCCTGGGGAGCGCCGAGGAATGCCGATAACTGATAGATAACTGAGGACCCGCTTCCCCCAGAACCGCTTGCTTCATGGCGATCAGTTGACATCCCCCGGAGAGCCGAGCTGACTGCTGGCGTCGCCGGAGTCGCCCGTGAGCGGTAGGCCCTCCGTGCAGACGGTAGCGTTGCCCTTCGGCATCTCCCCGCCCCAGCCAGCGAGCACTGGGATCTGGCACTGCCCGCCGTTGTTGCACTCAACCTTCGGGGGGGAGAGAAGAGACACCGATGCGGCTGCCCCCAGCGCCCCTCCCAGGGCGCGGATTCGGCCGTGGCGACGAGGGCCGCCACAAGGCGGACCGACTGCCACCGGCATGGGCACATGCACTGTCTGTCTCCTCTGAGCGACGACGTGAAGGGCAACGTCAGGGGGACCTTCTCAGGAGGGGAAGCATCGACCAGGAATCGGCGATAAACCGCTGACAAATCGGCGATGGGCCCCCGGTGGCAAATCCGCACGATCCAGGCCGGAGGAGGCCACCAGGCCCCCATCGGCAATGAATGGGCGATTGGGGGTCGATGCGCCCCCCCGAAGAGCCAACCCCCCCCCCGATGTTGCCCCCGACGACGACGACGACGACGACGACGACGACGACGACGACGACGACGACGACGACGACGACGACGACGACGACGACGACGGCGGCGGCGGCGGCGGCGGCGGCGGCGGCGGCGGCGGCGACGGCGGCGGCGGCGGCGACGGCGACGGCGACGACGGCGACGCATGCGCTGGTCGGGGCTCACCCGAGCCTTCGCCCACCAAAGCAGCGCGAGTACCGCCAGTGGCAGCACCAGCTCGCAGCACGCCGCCAGAGGGCACCACGGGCAGCACGTGGCTGACCACTCTCTCCGCTTGAGCACGGCGTTCTTCCGCAGCAGGGCGCGGAAGTTGCCTCTCTCTGGAAGCTGCCCCAGCGACTCCCCTCCGAGGTTTCGAGGCGTGGGGGAAGCTGGTGGCCCCCCTTGCCGCTCCGGAGGCCTCCAGAGGCCTCCGAGGGACCCCAAGACTCTGGGGCCCCTGGAAGCCGCTGGGGCCTGCGGGCCTCGTTAGGCCAGAGTGGAGACCTAGACGAAGGACTGAGCCGCACCGCCGATGCATCGGCGATGCATCGGCGACGTCGGGATGGAGAAGATCTGCGGCAGACCGCGCCGAGCACCCGATGCATTCATCGGCGATGCGGCGCGATCCTCCGAACCCATCCGCTCCAGCCCCGCCGACGGGGGCCCGGAGGCCCCCGAAGCCTCTGGAGGCCGTCGGAGCCGCGGGAGGCCCCCTGGGAGGCCCCACGCAGTTCCGACCATCCGACCCTCGATCCTCGAGAAAAGCATGTCCAGGAGCCCCGATCCTCGACCCTCGATCCCCGATCCCCGACCCTCGATCCTGGACGCATGCCCAGGAAAGCCCCCCGATCCTCGATCCTCGGGAAGCCGCTTTTGGGCGGCCCGGACGCCTCTGCCCGGGGCGGCGGCTGCCCGCGCCTCTCGAGGGCGAGCTCTAAAAAGGCAGACACGAGCACGCACGCCCGGAGGAACCCCACGGACTCCTCGAGCCGGCGCCGGAGCGGGGGCGGAGAGGCCGTGGGGCGAGAGAGAGAGAGCAGCGCCGGCCCCCCAAAGAAAACTGCACTGCAACGAAGAATTGGAAAAAAAAAACCCTTCTTGAACGAAGGATTGCGAAAAAACCCTTCGACGAGGGGATTTTTGGCAAAACTGTGTTTTTTGTTTGCAATCCTTCGTGCAATCCCCGGTTTTGTTGCAATCCTTCGGGCGCTGGCCCCTGACGCCGCGTGGATCGTTCGGCCCCGAAGAGGTCGTCGAGCGCGCTTCCGGACCGCAGAGATCGCTCGACCTCGGCCAACTCTCTGGGGAAACCAAGAGGCACCGATGCCGCTGCTCCCCGGACCATTTCCTGGGGTGCAGTCTGACCAGAATTTCGAGGCGAACGCCAGCGGTGGCGACGAGATCCTCCGAGGAGGCCCCACAACGGGAAAACGGCCGAAGGGTAGAGGTACGGGCACCTTTTCTGAAGGGGCCCAATAAATACACACACACACAAATAACTGGATTCCCCACATTCTTCCATCTCTTCTGCGCTTTTGTCTCCCCCCCCCACCATTTCCCATATTTTCCCACATCTTCCTGGGAATCGACGATGAGTTGTGCCTGTGTGCTTCTCCCCCTCCTGGTCTTCCTCCTATGAGTCGGGGATGGACAGACCCCCCTTTAGTAAGACGTGGTTTAGTGAAAACGACCTGAGGCCCAAACCTGGCGGGCGCAAGCCTGGAAAATGACGGCCACGGCGCCCTCTCGAAAACCGAAAACGGACAATTCACTAATCGACGTGTCACTGTTGGGGGTTCTGTCCACCCCCGACTATGAGGCTCTGGGCCACGTGCGGCGCTCAGAGCCCCGATCTCCGGCGGCGCTCCACCACGCTGGGGCGCCCCGCGCCGGCAGCGGCGCGCAAGGCCGTGCGTGCCCCGGGCCGTGGAATGCCCTGCCACGGTCAGGCTTACAGTCGGGGGCGTTGACCTAAGGAACCCTAAATAAGGAACGAGGCCCCTTTTTTCCATAATAAGTGACCCTTCGATTTACTGTCGAAAACACGAGGAAAGCCCGAGGCAAGCTGTAGAACACTTCAGGAACGCGGAGCCCCTCCCCAACGAAAAGGGTTCCTGCTTCGGGGCCCCGACGGTACGTCGGCCATGTCCCCCTGCAGGAGGAATTCTCAGGAATGGTGAGGAAAAAAGACGGGGACGCTGTTTCCTGTACTCTTGCCTGCTGTTGAACACTGCTGGACTGCCTACCGTCTGTCCGGCAGAATCCGCCAGCAGGAGGACATGCCCGACCTCACGTCAGCAGCGCCGAATGAGGAACGAGGGGTGCGCTTGCTGCCCATGGCGAGCCTCGAGCACGCAGGGGCTCCCCGACCTCGGTCCGAGGGGCGGGTCGAAGGCCAGGGCCCGCTCCCCAGGGCCTCTCCAGTAAAGGAGCCCGGGGACGCACAAACAAGTACACACCAGTTCCACGATCCCCCACATTCTCCCATATGTTCCTATATTTTCCTATCTTTTCCTATGTTTTCCTATATTTTCGTCTTCCCCCCCCCCTTCCCATATTGTCCCATATTTCCCTGGGAGTTGACGATTCCTTGTGTCTGTGCTAGGAAGGCACCAACTATACACCAACACCGATCCTGGCCAGGATCACCCTGGGCCCAGGATCGGTGTATACGCCCTCCTGCCTTGGGCAAGAAGGCATATGCACCGATCATGGGCCCAGGGTGATCCTGGGCCAGGATCGGTGTTGGTGTATAGTTGGTGCCCTCCGATGTGGGTTCCTTCTGACTACCTACCAGACCACCCCAACCCAACCCGAAGACCCGAATTTCGGGTTGGGGGGGGGGGTATGGGCTCCACATGTGTTTTTTCGATGTTCCCGGACCCCCCCCTACTGGAAATCGAGGGTAAATCAGACCCTTCGGGTTGGGTTGGGGTGGTTTGGTGGGTGGAGACCTTCCCCTCCCGATCCCGGGGCGCGTGCTGGCAGGAATGCCGAGGCACGTCCCAGCCGCGGCGACGGGGGCCCCATGGTAGAGGCTCCGAGAGGCGGAGGCCGGGCAGAGGGGCAGCGGTGCCTCGCCTCCTCGGAGCACCTCTTCACCGGTCCCCGCGTCCCGGGAGGAGGGGGAGGAGGAGGAGGAGGAGGAGGAGGAGGAGGAGGAGGAGGAGGAGGAGGAGGAGGAGGAGGAGAGGAGGAGGAGGAGGAGGAGGAGGAGGAGAGGAGAGGAGAGAGGAGGAGGAGGAGGAGGGTGGAGGACGCGGAGCCCACCCGGCCGGTGCACCCCCCCCCCCCAGATGCGGATGCAGGGTCTTCCCTTCGGGTTCCGGGGGGCCTGTTCCCAACTGGGGCGGTGCGATGGTGGGGCCGAGATGGCATGGTCCCAGTGGGAATGGGAGTGGGTTAAACGATAATGAGCTTGGGGGAAGAAAAACGGCACAAACATAAACCCTCGAGGGTCCGCGCGGATGTCTTGGATCTGCGCTGTCGTCTTGGGCCCATCCGCTATCGTTTCAAGCCCGGGGGCTTCTCCAAACTCACCGAGTCGGGAAATTCTCATCCCCATAGGACTTTCGAACACCTTGACAGGACCAGGCCATCGCCGACAGGACCAGAAGTAGGGTGGCAGGGAAGGGAAGGGGGGCATCCTCATTGAATTCAATGAAAGTCCCCACGAACCCCGCGCAGTACGTGCAGCGCAGGGGGCGGCGGACTGGCTACCCATTCCACCATCATAGCGGGATGCGAAGTCCCTGGAGACGGGACGGGGTGGGCATGGGCTGGCGTCGTAGCTGTCCCACCGTCAAAAAGAAGCCCCATAGCTTCCACATCAGCAACTGCAAGACTGATCCACTCACGACGCAGCATGATCTCCCCCTCCCTACGCGCGCGGAGGGCGCCGGGGGCGGCGCCGGAGGCGCTGCCGGAGGGGCCCGGAGCGCCGATGCGCGAGATCCGGATGCGGAGCGCCGAAAGTT